GACTTACCATAGCACTGACCATATCAGCTTTAGGTCTGAATTTGGTTCTATCATTGGCATGGCATCATCAGGCACAGAGATCTGGTTAGGATTTTCATCACAGAGGCACTGTGCCTTGTTTTTGTCTTGCCTACCAATAGTTGGAACTGACTGACTGAGAGCACGATATTCAATAGAAGTTGTACATGGGCCCAAATAGGGCAGTGAGTAGTGAAAATTGTGATAAACGATTCAGTCCTTTTCTGAGGATCATCCTTGTATATCGTGTTTTGGTTTTTCCAATTTAGAAAATTTGAGGTTCAATAACACCCAGCTGGCTACTCTTGGGCGTTCACTCTGACTGGAACTGTCTCAACAGGAATTGCCCCTCTCTGCCCAGAGTGGTTGCTGAGCCAACCACTGGGTCTTAGACCATCTTCGTCCCTAAACTCATACCTAGTGGGTCCTGGATAGGGGATACCGGGCCTTCCTTTGTTCCCTGCCAACCCCTCCAGATGAAGGAGACATTACCAGTGGAGAGCAGCGTCCAGAGGCTATGGGCATTGATGGTAGAGTGCTGGGCATATGTAACAGAGGGAGGGAATTGGTCTGTAATGGATGGCTGAGCCCAGGCAGCCCTGAAACCACCAGGATTAAATGGATTCATTACATTCAAGTTAACTGTCTTCCTCAACTTTTTCTTCTGGGGCTTAGCTATCCTCATCAGAAGGCTTGTTTTTCTCTGTACCATCGATTTATTCTCTGGCCATTTTGACTTTTTTTCTTTTTTGGTGATACTGGGGTTTAAAATCAGGGGGCCTTGCACTTGTGCACTTGCTAGGAATTGAACTGGAGTTTGAACCGGGGCTTCAAAGGAGTGAGGACCCCTGGCAGGTCCCATATCAGTGTTGCCAATATTGTAACCAAAAGTTCAGTCCCTGGACTCAAATTGGTGATTTACAAATAATGAATGCAGGGTTTTGAGAAGATTAAGGTTTATTCACTAGGCAAATGAGGAGGGTAGTGACTCCAGTGTGAAAACCTGTCATTCTGCTCGAGAGAAAATGCCCAGCTTTTAAGGGACTGCTTAGGAACTCGGCTCCAGGGTACATGATGGAGGGCATGCCCCAGGACCAGATGGTGGCTTTGGTTTTTCTTATCTCCTGGTTTACTAGCACACCATCTCTGAAGATTTATATCTTGTTTGACAGAGGTTTTTTCTTTCTTGTGAGAGAGAGATAAAGGGGAAAGATTGAATGGTTTGTTAGACTCATGTTCCCGTAGGTACCTAAAGATGAGATACAAAGTATGATTCAAGAGGTGTGCTACACTCCAAAAGAACTACTTGAATTTTCTAATTTATGCCAGAAGACATCCAGAGAAGACTGTGGGAACGTTAAGGGTGTGGGATGATGATGGAAGGAGCATAAAGTTGGATCATGCTAAATTTATTGATATAGGCCCATTCAGTAGAGGGTATCTCCCTGAAACATCAAGATATTCAAATGCATAGGGAGATTGTGATGCTATAATAGATTTGTCAACTTAAAATCTATTCCCTCACACTAGAAGGGTCCAAAAGACAAACATTTCCCCAATATTTTGAGAAAGATTAGTGACGGGAGCTCCAGCATCCCTCAAGAGCTCCATGATTGCTTTTATCTGTGTGCTGGATCTTACAGTGGGAACTGTAGTCACTCAAGTGGAAAACTTCAATGAAATGGAATAACTAAATTCTGGGGTAATAGGGGCCAAGTGACAGCACTTAGTCATCAAAGGCAAGGAGGGCTTAGTAACTGTAATGGACAGCATTCAAAATAGCAATCAGAATAGTCCAACTTGTGTAGACTTATGGAACTGGCTAGTTGATCATGGTGTCTAGAAGTGAAAGTGATAGGAACCCAACTAAATTGTAACTTGAATTGTATAAGTCAAAAACTTCCAGGTGAAGTGAACAAAAGTTTAATTCAAATAATAAAAACAGAATCACAGCCTCCTAATCAGTTTCACAACTTGGACCAGTTTATACATCCAGAACCCTTTGTATGAAGAGGAGGCTGGTCTGCTTGAGGAAGGTCCCAGTACCCTATGAAAAATTCATCTTTTTCTTTCCAGCCTTTTCCAAGAGACTTATGGCCTTTTATCAGGTTAATAGTGCATCGGGAAAAGATTATCAGATCCTTTAGGAACTACTAGGAACTGGCTCTGAACTGACACTAATTCCAGGAGGTCTAAAACATCACTGTGGCCCTGTAGTCAGAGTAGGGGCCTATGGTTGATTTTGAGTTTTAGTTCAGGTCTGACTCTCAGTGGGTCCCTAAACCCATCCTGTTTTTTTTCCCCAGTTCCAAATGCACAATTGGATTGGACATACTTAGTAGCTGGCAGAATCCATACATTATTAGTTCTCTAAACCTATGGAATAAAAGATATTATAGTGGTAAAGCCCAAATGAAAGCCATTTGGAGCTACTTCTACCTAGGAAAATGGCAAATCAAATCAGTATCATATTACTGGATATGACTTATATCCACTAATAAACCCATATTATTGGATGGGTTTTAGAGATTAGTGTCACCATTCAGGACTTCTAAGAGGTAGGAGTGCTGATTCCAACCATATCCCCATTCAACTTACCTACTTTGCCTTTGCAGAAGGTACATGGATCCTGGAGAAAGAGGCAGAATGCCTAGGGGGCACCTCTGAATTTTGGAAACAACATATTCTTCATTTGGGTGTAATACTCCAGCCCATTTACTGAGTGAAACAAAAAGCTGCTACCTTTGAGTTGGGCCCAGAATGAAAGAAGGCTCTGAGTCTTGGTCTTATCATTCAGCAGATCCAATGGTACTTGAGATGTCAGTGATAGGTAGGGTATCTATTTAGAGCCTTTGGCAGGCCCCTATCAGTGAATTGCAGCATAGGTGTTTAGGATTTTGTCCAGTGATGTAATCAATCATGCTTATAGTTAAGCCTCTGTAAATGACTGAAAGAACTGTTTGGAGGGTTTCCAGATGACTGAACAGGTTGAAGTTCCTGGAGGGTAGCTTGCCCAGAGAGGACATGGAAGCTCTGTGTTCCTTTCCATATATCTTTCCTTATGCACCTCTTCCATCTGGCTCTTTAACCATATCCTTTGTAACAGGCATTTATAACAAACCATATGTAAGTGTTTCCCTGAGTTTTGTGAGCCTAACAAGTTAACTGGAGCCAAGAAGAGAGGTTGTGGAAACCCAAATTTATACCTGGTTGGTCAGAAGCACAGGCCACAACCTTAGTTTGCAATTGGGACCTAGAGCTTATGTGTGTGAAGACTTGTGGGACTGAGTTTTTGGGATCTGATACTATCTCTAGGTAAGTCAAGTCAGAATTGAGTTGATTTAGAAGTGCCCAGTTGGTGGCCCCAGGAGAAGCACTTCACTGTTTGTTGGTGGGGTGAAAACCTCTGTCCCTACATTTTGGTCACCAGAGGTCATAGAAATGTTCTGTGTTGTTGTATTGGGAATAAAGAACAGGAAAAGTGCTTTGGTTTTCCTCCCATCTTTACCAATAGTCCCCTGAATGAAGATATTCATGCCCTATGTGAATGTTCATCAAAGAGTGACCTCGACAGAGGAGGACTTTAATAATTAATTGGATAGGATCACCCATTCTGTCGATACTAGTCAGTGACCTTCTTCCTAGCTGGTCATCATCACCAAACAGACTCATGGGCACAGTGGACACATGAAAGGGATGGAGGTTGTACAAGGGTTCTCAGCCTCTGTAATATGAGAGCCAGTTTCCCCATAAATCCCGTCTCTGGAGAACCTGATTAATACAATGATTCTTATGAGTAACAGCATCTTTTTTCTTCTCTGGTCTGATTTTACTTTTCAGACCATCTTAGTGTTGTCTAACTGCTTTTTATCACTCTTGTGGTTTTCATGACTGGTTTTTGTCATTGTTCATTCACAATTATTCATGATATTGAAACTCAGATCACAAGAATTAAGCAACATTAGGAGGAAGGCATCAAGATGGTGGAAGAGGAAGCCCCAGTCCTCATTCTGGACAAGATACGTTGACTTTACAACAACGTACAGACCAAAATGCCCTTATAAAAACTTCAGAAATTAGTTAAGAAGTTACAGTACCTCAAGTGAATGCAAAATTGAGAAGAGCTGTACCGAAATGGGAAAGAAGAGAGGTTTCGCTCTACCAGAGATTGCCCTTCCTGCCAAGACACCATAGCTCAGTACCTACCTAATGGCTTCTTCTTAGGCAGGAAAGAGTGGAATGTGTGTCTAGCATGCTGGCTCTTTTGGAAAGTGCACACCTGTAATCCCAGTACTTGGGAGAATGAGCATGAGCTCAAGGTCAGCCTGGAATATATAGTGAGACTCTGTCTCTCAAAAAAAGAATATCCTTCCCCCCAAATAAAAACACCAAACCTCCAAAAAACAAAACTAGACAACTTCCCAAAACAGAATTTAAGTCTAGAAAATATGTGTACATTTTTAATAGCAAAATCCTGAAAGTCAACAAGAGGAGAGATGAGTATCGCACCAAGAAACCATTAATAGTACATGGAATTGTGACTCTGAGCTACTAATTTAACAATTCATTGAATGGTACTAAAAAAGTAGCTTGGAATTTTTTCAATAAGTATCAGATATTAACTTATGTACTATGTTTTAGAATTACCTAAGTCATATGTGCATAACTTTAATAAAATATATATTTTATGACTACATGACTGGAAATGTCATTCAATAACTTTATTGTACACATATATATATATATATATATATAAATAAATAGAACAGTTCAAAATTTAAAAGTATTAACAAAAAGAAGGTATTACTATCACCATTCTAAACTGCTAGAAATAAGTTAATTTCTTGTTCCTTCATCTTCCAATTCTAGAGACAATGTGAAAATCAAACTGAAAACTGGACTGTGACATATTTGTCCAGGTAGACACACAAACATAAGGAATGATGGGACATCAGAAAAGTAACAGAGCAACAGAGGGTTGCCTACTGGGTTTTGCATTCTGGCATATCTTTTCCTGAGGAGGCATGCCAAAGACCAGGCTTGGGATCCATATTCTCTGTTCCTTCAGTTTGCTCCTCTGAAAAAAGAAAGTAAAACCCCAAATTAATCCTATTAAAATACACATTGAAACCAAGCACAATTGGAAACAGAAAGTATGTTAGAAAAGATATAAGGAAAAGGGGCTAGTGGAATGGCTCAAGTGATAGAGTGCTTGCCTAGCAAGTGCAAGGCCTTGAATTCAAACCCCAGTGCCTCAAAAAAAAAAAAAAGATAGAAGGAAAAGTAACAATGTGGCTCATTGTGTTTGGTAATTAAAAAGGTACATTTCACCTCATCAGAGAAGTTTATTTCCCACTTTGTCATAAGATGAGCTGTTAAGAAAACTCTATTATACATAAAATTAAGAAGTGCTAAAGTTTTAGTTAGAATGAATTAGAGATTCAAAGCAAATCAAACATGAATTCAGTTTGATTCCCTTTTGTCTTATCTTTTATTAAAATGATGTGCTAAACAAACATAGCAGTTCCCTCTTATCCAGCGTTCCTTTCCATGGTTTCAGTTACCTGTGGACAACTGCAGCCTAAACATATTAAATGGAAAACTACAGAAATAAACAGTTCAGATCAGAGATTTAAAATTGAATGCCACACTCAGTAGTGACGGAATCTGTTTCACTTCATCCCAACCGGGACATGACTCATCCTTTGGTTCAGTGCATCCACACTGAGTGCTATGTGGCCATCAGTGGTCATTTCAGTTGTCAGATGGACTGCTGCAGCCACCCTTATTTCACTTAACGATAATAGTGCTGAAGTCTTAACAGCAGTGAAGGCGGCAATTTGGATATACCAAAGAGGCTCCATAAAATGCATCTTTGAAGTGAAAAAGTAAAAGCTTATTACAAGTACTGTATATATAGGGGGAAAATGAGTACATATAAGATTCTCTACTATCCAGGATTTTAGGCATCCCACATAGGTCAGAATGAATCCCTGCAGGTAAGGGTGGACTACTATTACAATAGGTACTTTAGAGAATACTTAGTTATCATTAAAAAAATCTTTTTTGAGCTAAGTACAGATGTGTGTGGGTAAAGAATCAGATGTATGAGACTTTTTAAAACTCTGTAAATGAGTTTTTCCTTATCCTGACAGCAGAAGGAGGATGCCTTTGAAAGATTTTAAACAATGGCGATGGAAGATAATGAGCTATAAATCTTGGAAAGTAACTAACAAACAGAAGCAAGAGTTTATGACAGTTGAAAATTTAAAAGGCAGAGTAAGGATTTCACATGGGGTAAAAAAGTGAATGCACTTCAGTGCTAAGTCTGGGAGATATTGACTTTCTCATACAGACTCAGTGAATGAAGCCTGGGCACTGGCTGCTCTGCCATCTTTTCCTGTCAAAACTGGACCTTTGGGACCAAATAGTAAAGATAAGTTCCAGTTGTTATCCCCATATTCCCATGTAACCAGTTCATTTACCTACCTGGGGAAAGGCCTAAACCTGAGTTATCAAAATAGCGAACCGGCTGAGGTACTGGTAAAGACTTTGACCGGGTATCAAAAAACCAAGATTTTGGCGATTCCTTTGACACAGGATCTTGTAAATTCCGCTCCTTGCAATGGGAAGGCATGTTCTGTCTCTTTTTAGAGTCTGTTTTAATCACTTTAGGAGACTTTGGGGAATCCTCACAAGTTACTTCTTGGTGAGTCTCTCTTTTAATGGTCCTGTCCTTCCAAGTTTTGACTTCATTGGAAAGATGGTGATTATTGCTAAGTGAAGGGGAAAAAATAAGGGAGATTATTAGACTCCTCAATTCCTAAAATGTAGTAGTCACATGGAAAAAAATTAAAAAAAAAAAGCTCTACTAAAATATATATAACATGAAAATTTCCATTTTATCACATTTACATTTGCATTTCAATATAATGTTTTCTGTTTGGATTATTTCCATAGCGTGGAAAGTAAAATGGGCCTATATAAATTGAGACTTTGTGGTTAGGAGTCTGAAAAAAATTAAAAGTACAACATTAGGTTTTCAAGTGAACTGTTATTATTCAGAGTGGTTTATATATTGATACTTTGATGCAACAAATTGATAAATTGGTCTTCTGGATAGATGAGTCTTTTATGGACCTTTGTAAAAAATATCATGTTCCTTTTATCTTGCCTAATTCCTACTTCTTTCCAGGTCTATATTTTAGATTTTTGGTTACTACCCTCTCACCTATACCTAGATAAGGTCAGATTCCTGTTTCATAATGTCTTTAAGTAAATCCCCCAGAGCCCCAAGACAGTGTCTAGCTATGCAGCCATGCTAGACTCAAACTTGTGATCTTCCTGTCTCTGCTGCCCAAATGCTGAGATTACAGGTGTGTACCACCATGTCTATTTGGCTTTTTGCTTTTGTTTAACAGCACTCATTGTAAAGAACTATTTATTTGTAAAATTATTAATGCCTAGTTTTCTTCTAATGTATTGTTAGCAGAGCATTTGGAAGATTATTGTAATCTTCCACAGTGGTAAAAACCACATAATTAACTTTGTTATATTCATTTATGAAGTAAGTAGGGTACAACAATGGACCTAAGAGTTTCTCTGTTGACTAATGCATTTGGACCTATGGTACATCTCAGTTGTTGCTTCAAAGGTCTCTGTTTCCTGGTTTTTGGCTTAGTTAAAAATAGGTTAATGAATAACAAACATCTGGAATGGTGTCATTTATTTTTATTCCTTTTTAAAAAGATACTTATTACATAAATCCTAAAAATTCCTTCCCCCATAATATATGAAGGCTGCTGACTGCACAAAATATGTACATACACTTCCCAAGATAAGTACAGCCATAAGCATAGTATCTGTATAAGCAGATCTTACCTTAACAACTCACTGTTTTGCTTTGTTAACTGTTCATTTTGTTGCTTTAACTTAGAAATTTCCTTTTCTAGCCTTTTATATTCACTTTTCAAAATAAGAGCTTTTGTGCTTTGTACAATACCGCTGCCACCTCCACAGGTTAATGGTTTACTTGAGGGCTGAGAATCAGAACGTTCTGATAACACTGTGGGAGGCAAATACACAAACACACATGATAATTTTAATTACCTCCAAAGCTCAAAATAAAAGAAATATTACTAAGAGCAACAAGTCACTATGAAAACCAGAATGCCTCAATTACTATGCTTGGGAAATTATCTTTGACTTTTTTCTCTCTCACTTCCTCTGCCAATTTGATCCTCAGTTCTAAATGTCTCCAGACTCCACCCCAACCAATTCCATTACTGGCTCACAAAGATCTTCGAACCTGACTGCAATAACAGCAACCCAATGTACAGCTGTCCTTGGTTGATCTATGCCCTACAGTTGTGCTCACCTGAAGGGGTTATTTCCACACAGTATGTGTGGGGTTCAACCCCAGTCACTCGGTGCATTTTAAGTACTCAACATATACTTGTATTGAAATACACCTTAAAATGATATTAAAGCATGTTAGTAAGTATTCTACACTATGTATGTAAAAGCAATGTAAGAGACTGTGTTCTACAAATTGTAGGCAAAATTGCATAAAAATGTGAGAGATATGTTGGTGGAATAACCACTAGGTCACTAGCATTCCACAAAGAAGGGGTAGGATGGACATGAGGAAGAGATTCTCAAGGTCCACTTTTTTTCAAATTCAGGTACAATGTAGATTGAGCATCCCTAATCCAAAAACTGAAATGTGCAATGCTCCAATGTCCAAAACTTTTTGAGCACTGAGATGACACCACAAGTGGAAAATTGAGATTATCCACATGGTGGAGGTTGTGACACCTTTGCTTTCTGAAGGCTCACTGTATAAACTTTGTTTCATATACAAAATTATCTTCAAGCTGTGTATATAAAACACAAATCAATTCTGTGTTTATACTTGGGTCACATCCCCAAGATATTTCATTATGTATATGCAAATATTCCAAAAATCTGAAAAAATCCAAAATGCAAACAACTGTGGTACCAAGCATTTCTGATAAGTATGTATTTACCATACAGACTTTAAAGTAACCTACAAATCAAGAGCAATCACCCTGATCCTTCTGTAACAAAGAACAGTCATTTCTATTGCTGTCTCTTGAAGTTTTCCAGACAGGAGCTGAGATCATCCTTCAACACACTCGGGAAGTTCAAACTAAAGTAGGCACTAGGCAAAGTTGTTATGCCTACCTCTACTTTCTTTTTAAAATGAGTAGACAATATTATCTTATATTTTGCAAATATTTTATATTTGCCTGGCATTTAGAATTTTCAATGTGCTTTCATACAACTTTTGGTTTGAACCTCATAGTAAGCAAGTAAATATACATATGTATGTGAGTCAGAAGGTCAGGTGTACCTATAATTTCACGTGGCCATTAAATGACAGCAGTCAGTCTAGAGACCTGCCCAAGATTTGTAGCTCAGTGCTTGTTCTATTAGACAAAGTTGCACCAAATGCCAGTCAGCATTTCTCTCATATGAAACAGGAGAGTCAGAAATAGGAAAAAGGCACTTTGAAGAATGTGTATGCATTAATTTAACCATTAGATCTTAAAACTATGTAAGATAAATTCTGAAGACTTTTCCAAGTAATTATCAATGTGCTATTTTCAGTTTTAAGAGCAAGTAGGATAGTATTCACTCATTTTTCACACTGATTACCATTTATCAGTTGCATATTGCTAAAATCTATTAAGACGTGTTAGATTTTTACTGGGAAAGGTAGTTCTACCTCAATAGTTAAGTCATTCTCTTATAGTAGTGAAGGTATCTTCAGAAATGTATAAAGATATAATAATGTAAAAGTAAAATTCATTTTTTAAAGAATCTATAGTGGATGAACAATTAAAGTAAACTAAGACATGTTGTAAGATAAATATCACAATGAATTAAAATATTGATTAGTGGTCAACTGAGGTTTAGTCTTGAATGTCATGTATACGATACAAGCTTTCTACTTACTTGAGGCGTCTTGGGCCTGTTGATTTCTTCTGAGATTTTCTCTCAATAGCCTTATAACTTCTCTTTGATGATCTACAGTGGCTTTTGTAGAATGAAGTCTAACAAGAACAATAATAAAAATATGTAAGAGCCCAGCAACTAACTTTATATGGAAGAATAAACAGAACTGCTGTCAATTTTCTAATACATTGTGTTAACATAATCCCATGAGTAGTAGATCAGCCCCTCTTTGGTACCTTGCCTTTTTATGGCTACAACACCACCAGATTGGAGGAAGTATTCTGTTCAGTTATGCAAACAGTCCAGTTTCTATAATTTTAAGAAACCAATTCTTTATTTGGTTTAATCTTACTTGGTGATGCTGAAAGCACTATAAACAGAAACTTATTCCATTAATGATAGTAAGACAAAGTAGACATAACAGGAGATAATTTACTTTTATATTCTCAATACCCAGCATATATTAGGGTCCTGACAAATGTTTCAAACAAAAGAATTGAGACAATAATGTGAACAGTAACTTATGACTAGCATTTATTAAACTTATGATAAATGTTTAAAAAAAAAAAAAAGAAACCAATTCTGGAAGCCCAGTAGCTATTAGTTAGGTATTGAACAAAACTATATTTAGAGGCACTATAAAACAAAGAAGTGGGCTATTACCATGAGGACATAAAAACATCTTTTTAGGTACAATCACTGGAGCATTTGGAAAAAAAAGTCATTTCATTTCTATATTGTTAGGAAAGCAAACCCTGACTGCAGCTGTGGTCAAAGGTGAAATAAATGTTAAATTCTGATCACTGTTCGCCAGTAGAGACATTTTATGACATTTTATGTTGATTTAGGCATTCGTCAGCAATGATAAATTATGCAATTTTCTATTTTAATTAAAAACAGACTCCACAGGCTCCATTTTATAAGTAAAAATGTCATTTATAATTAGAAATCCAATAGCACAAGTTTCAATGAAACCATAAGCTCTTATCAGGTGGAAGCGTGGTCAGAAAGCATGAAGACTCACAGTCTCTTTTGACTCTGGGCAGAATTAGACATCATCATTACGTATTTATTTAAGATTAGGAAGAATGAAAAATGCAAGAAGCCAGAAGACATCTGAAGAAATTCTCTTTTTTATTGACTACAAATGCAAAGACCAGACAGATTTAATAGCTTGTTTAAGGTGATGCATTAAGAAGTGAGCACATATTTCTAATTGTTTTTCCTGACTCTGTTTAATGCTCTTTTCATTATGTTGTATCATAAATAATGTTATGCATGCTATTATGTGTAACAGTACATACAGATCAGTCAATAAAAAGAGGTTATGCTCCAGGGCCCTAGGTACCTATAAAATAAAGCATCATGTTCCTCTTCATTTTTATGTTTTTGTTTTGGAAACAGGGTCTTGCTATGTAGCCCAAGCTGACCTCAAACTGGTGATCTTCCTGACCCAGTCTCATGAGTACTGGGATTACAGTTGTGTATCACCACACTCATCAAGAAAACAATCTTTATACAAAAGCACAACAGGAAGAAAAAAATGAAATTACAAGACCAGAAACGTTCGTCAAACTGTTAAAGACACATACACTTTGCATGCACGTACAGGTGCACACACACACACACATTCAACACACAAACATCTTTAATGTTCACTTTTAGGCATGAAAGGGCATTTTTAAGTTTCTTATATGACTGAGAAGAAATCATTTAAAGACAGTGTGCTACCTGATCAGAACTGTGCTTAATTTTCAAAGCTTTGCATTTGTAATCAGCAGTTAATAAATTAAAAATCTGCAGGTGTTTATGTTTTTTTTTTAAAGCAGTATTTCATAAATTACTTTCTAAAAAGCTGACCAATGCAAAGATATTTAAGTAGTTTACGAAAAAAGTAAAGCCATGTTCAGTGATGGCAAAGACGTACTCCTTCTCAAACTCCTTGGCATTCTTCATCTTCTCTAGGTCAATTTCTACCAGCTTCGTTTTGAGATCCTCAATCTCTTCTTTATAAGGCTTAGCTCCTAAAGCAACTTTGTCCTTATTTTTATAGAGAAAGTAAAGCAAAATAATGATTAGTTTCAATTTTACCACCTTGCTCTGTTAAGAATGTTTAAAAACAGTCAACAATTACAAATACATGAAAGACAAGGTATTAATTTTAATTGAGTAGTTAATAGATCTTTGATGTGAAGTATATTTCAAGCTAATATGTGCAGACATATGATTTTTACTTCTTAAAACAAGTAAGTATTTTTTCCGATGAAAAAAGTGATTTAACTTATAAAATGAAACTGAAAGGCTGAAGATAATGACATGAGTGGGCAAAGATAAGTCAGGAAAGGGAACAAAATGGAGCAATGTGGGTACCAATGTGGGTCCAAACCACGAAGCTTATCTGGAAATACTTTGAACTAAAAAGTGGTTTAAGCAGTGATATAAATGTATTTGATTTAACTCAGAGAACACATATATACTTATGTATGTGTGTCCATGTTTATAAATAATTAAGATATTTTTAACAAGTTTCAGGTTAACAGAAAAATTTAATGGAAAATACTGAGAACTGCCACATCCATCCATCCCCTTTTTTCCTATTATTAACATCATACATTAGAATATTTGTTATAAATGATAAACTAATGTTGCTATCTTAATGGTAACCAAAGTCCATAGTCCATATCAGGGTTTCTTAGATCTCCTATGCTTACCTCTCTCTGTGTGTCTGTGTGTCTCTCCTTTCCCTGATCCCTGGCAAATGCTAATCTTTTTTACTGTTTTCCCAGTTTTGCTTTTTTTTACTTAGCTGCATTTAAGGTTTTCCCATGTTTTTTCATGACTTGATAGCTTATTTCTTTTTAATTGCTGGATAATATTCCACTATATAGATGTACCACAGTTTATCCATTCACCTACTGAAAGACATCATGGTTGTTTCTAAGTTTTGGCAATTATAGCTTTTTGTGTGGACATATTTTTCAATTCATCTGAATAAACACCAAGGAACATAATGGCTCAGTCATTAGTTCAGTTTGCTAAGAAATGGTCTAAATGCATCTCAAAATGACAGTACAATTTTGTATCCTCACCAGCAATGAGTAAAGAGTTCTAAGTTTCACATCCTGGCCAGAATTTGGTGTTTCTCAGTGTTCTGGATTTTGGCCATTCTAGGAAGTAAGTGTGTAGTGGTATCTCGGATTACTTTGCAATTCTCTGGTGACATATTATGTAGAGCATCTTATGTGTCACCTGTACATCTTACTTGGTTTCCTTACTGCTGAGTTTTAAGAGTTCCTCTGTATATTAGATAACAGTCCTTGACTGGATATATATATCTATCTAAAAATAGATATATATGTATATATTCTCAGTCTGTGGCCTTTCTTTTTATTTTTTTTGATCAGATTCTATGTAGAGCACAAATTCTGAAATCTAATGAAGTTCAATTTATCAGTTCTTTCTTTTGGTTTTGTATCTAAAAAGTTATCACCAAAACCACAGTCACTTAAATTTTCTCCTGTGCTATTTTCTAGTTTTCTGTTTTACATTTTATGTCCATGATCTGTTTTATTTTTGAGATGGGGTCTATTTTGACTAGGCTGGTCTCACAATCCTAGGCACAAATGATCCTCCCACCTCAGCCTCCTGAGTAGCTGGGACTATAGGTATGCATCACCATTCCTGGCTTGATCTGTTTTGAGTTGACTTTATGATACAAATGAGTATTATTTTTATGGTCTGTCTGCTCATGTCTCCTTGAACGGACCAGAATTTTAAGAACATTGCTAAACAATGAAAAAAGCAGGTATTTGTGGTTTGATCCTAATTTTAACTGAAGTAAAGAGAAAATGAAGCAGGAAGAGCACTTAAATGATATTAGAGTCAGACTCAAGTGGCAGAATTGTAAGAAGTGGTTAGAACTGAAACAAAAGGGAGTGCTAACTTGTCTGGTGGAATTCAAGTTCAAAAACCATTAAGCTACCATTATTTCTGAAGAAAACAGATCAGACTCAGTCCATAGGACAAGGTAATAGGGGGACTAAGTAGACAAAAAAGAAAGAGAAAGAATTTTAAGAGAAAGAATTTTAAAAGAAAAAGAACTGTAATCTAATTACAGTTTTATATATTTAGATAAGAAGGATTTTTTTGAAAAATGAAAAAAATAACTATTAAGTATAAAGAACATAAAGAACAATATTTATGTCTTTTAAAAATTCTTTTTCTAGCTTAAAAACAACTAATATTTTGCATGAAAATCTACTTCTGTATTTCATCCAAGTCACTTTTTTTTTTAAAGCTTGAGTAATGAAGTTCAGTTATACATAGGTAATAGGTGAGAAGAAAGAACAGAACCAAATCATTTGTCAAATTTACTGATAAAAAAACAACTTTGGGCTGGGAGTGTGGCTCAAGAGACAGAGCACCTTCCTAGCAAGCACAAGGCCCTAAGTTCAAACCCCAGTACCATAAACAGCAAAACCCCAAATAAAAAACCCTTACAACCACAAAATGAGTTTACCTTACCTCAAGTGTTTGGATCATTTCTTTTGTTTTTTGAAGGCATTTGTTTGACTCATTAACTTTGGCTTGAAGTTTTGCTATTACATCATTAGTCATTTCTAATTCTTTCTGCATCTTTATAATCTGGCCTTCCTTATGTGTAGCACTCTCTTTAGCTTCCTGTAGGGAAGTTTCCAGCTCCTGAATTTTCTGTTAGAGAAAGCACACATTCATAAGGCTTACTGTAAAGACAAAATCACAACGTATAAATGTGCAACAAAGATGACCATATTTAGGTATTGTTAGTTTTTTTTACAGATTACATTACAAAGGACAGAAGAGAGGCCATGCTACTCTTTCATTTATAAGATGATGATTTTTAGATTAAAAAAATGCCAAAAATTTACATTATAATCAGTCAGCAAATTCATAAAACATGCAAGATGAAAACAGTACAGTGGTTATGTTACTTTGGTTAGACAGTGCTAAGCATATTAAATAGGCAATCTTAAATTAACACTATTTAAAAAAAGTGCATTTAGCTTTCTCAAGTAATACATGCAACATATCTTTTCCTTTAATGTATGTATGTACATATGCATGTAGCTACAGAACTGGGGATTGAGCTCAGGGCCTCACGCTTGCTAGGCAAGTATTGTGCTCCTTCAGAGGTGTCTGCAGTCCTTTTGCTTTCAGTTTGTTTTTCAGATAGGGTCTGTTGCTTTTACACAGGATGGTTTTGGACTGTGATCTTCCTACTTCCACATCTGCTATATCTGGGATTATAGACGTACACTACCCCATCCAGCTTGTTTTTGAAATAGGGTCTTGCTAACTTTTGGACTGGGCTGGCCTTGAATCATGATTCTCCCATTTGTGTTTCCCGAGAGCTGGGATTACAGGCATGCACCACTGGGAATGTATGCTATAATTTTTATGAATTTACTAATTGTTTTTACTAATTAGTTTTGAAACTGAAAAATGTTAAATATGTGGAAAAAATTCAAGGGCATGTAATGAAAAGCAAGACTCCTCATCTCAGATCCTCAACTGACACTGAAACAATGATTTTCAAGTGTACCCTGCTAGAAATTTTGAGTATCTAAGCATATATGAACATACAGTTTATAAAAATGATCAGCCATACAGTTTTGCTCATTAAAAATATTGACAATATATTTTCAGATCTTTGTTACATTATGTTTCTCACTTTTTTTTGTTTTCATAACATTGCATTTCAAGGAAGTATCATAAATTAATTAACTAGTTACTTACAAATGAACATTTAGGTTATTTTCAGTTTTTCACAAATATAACTTATCTTAGGATGAACTTAAACAGTCAATTTATTTTCATGTTCATAAGATTATTCTTATGTGTATGCACTTAAAAGTTTTTTTTCTGTGAAATGACTCTCTTTTTTGGTCCATCTAGAATTTATTTTTTGTCTAATGAGTGAGACAGGAGTTAGTCTTACTTATTTATTTAATTTAGAACAGTAAACCATCTTTTCTCCATTGCATTGAATCATATGCTAAATTCTCTATGGCTTCTGAACTCTGCTCTGTTCTACCGCTCTGCTTGTTTACTTTTGTGTCATTGTCAAACTAACATGGCTGTAGTAGTACAGGTTTCATTATTTGTTAGAGTATTTTATGGGTCATTGAAGATAGAATTTCCTATGGCTTCTTTAAATTATTGCTTTGGTAACTGGGTTTCAGTTTTGCTCTATTTTATCTCTATCAGCTGAATGAGTTCCATGATGATCAGCAAATCAAAAAGTGATCTTCTAGCTTCCACTGGTAATTATTAAACCAGTGGGTGGTGTTTTAGTATAATCATTCAGGTTTACAGAATAAGGTACCATCTTTGCTCATTTTACCAATCCCAAGTAAGGAGTTAGAATAGGATTTTTCAAACAATGTGCTGATTGTTAGACACAAGTTAACCTGTATAACAACTGCTATACTGTTAGCTTCTTACATTTCCATTGTGATAATAACATTAACCAATATTAAATAGTGATAAGAATTACAGAGAAGCTAAATTGCTATTTTTTTTTCAAGCGTTTCTTCTGCATATAGTTTAGTTTGACAGAACGCCATATGATTTAGGAAGTTTACATTGTCTGGCAATAATACCTTAAAAGTTATAATAAACCACATTGTATGAAGCTACTATTCAAATTAACCTATGATTTACTTCTGTTTTATAATCCACAGAGAAGATGTTACATGATTTTTAGCCTTATAATTATTTGAGTGATAGCCACAGAAGAACTACATGTAAAAAATCTAGCTCATCACACACAAAGTAGTGTGTTCACATTTCTTAATGAATACATACAATACTATAATTTTGTTCTGAACTCCATGATGATGCTAGAAACTGAAGACTATCTTATGATACATTATATACCTCTGTGGTTAGCCGTACAATCCTTGATGCAACACGAGGATTCTGACTGACTTGTATAGTAGTATTAACAGGGGCACGAGATGTCAGGAATATTGTCAAAGTTTGGTAGTCGTTAAATAGTTTTTTATTTTTCTCTCTCATTGATTTCAGGTCATGTTCCCATTCTTTGGATTTGGTAGAACTTCTTTCTTCAAACTCTGTTAATTCATTTATCATGGCCTATTAAACAGTAAAATACCATTACAGATCTAACACATTAAAAACTCAAAGAAGAACACTAGGATTCTAGGACCATGTATATGCTTAAATTCATTATTTACAATATCCTAGAATAGTGCTATAAGAGAATGTTAGCACTCTTGTGTGAAATTTCAGATGTTGGTAATGGTAATAAAATAAAAAGTAGAAAAGAATAAAAAGGGCTGGGGAAGATTCACATGGATTTGCAAGATGAAAATCTCACTTTATTAGATTTGTGCTAACATACAAAGAAGAATTAAAGAATTGTATGGATTAAAATTATTAGATATGCTATGGCTAATAATGAAACATTAACTGAAATCTAACAGAAGAGTATACTTAGTAAACTTAACAATTATTTTCCTGCTTCATTCCAAACCTCAATGCTTATAGAAGAAATCACTCACTGACTTTGGAATTAATCTGGAAACCTTGTATTTCTGTGCAGAGAATAGTAATCAATACTCTTTCACATCACAGGCTACTAATTCTGAAAGATGCCTGCTGAGATGGGACTCTCTTTGGCTCTGGTCTTCTGATCTCATACGGTACAAGGTTATTGGTTCCTATTCTTAGGGTGCTGGAAGAAGCCATACATCCCTCCATTCTGACTCACATGATAGAACTCTCTACTTTAATCTAATCACAACTGGGTCTTCAGTATTAGAAGAGAAACCTTCCTTAGATAGAGATTATCTTATCCAAACATTGGTTTTGTCCCTTTCTTTGTTGATTTTGGGTTATTTGATTGAAACAGACGATTAGCAAAACAATTGTTTTGCTAGTTCTGATTACATATGGAATGAACTATCCATGGAAACTTATGCATATAATATACTGATCACTGAAAAGTAAAACAAATTAACCAAATGGTCTTAAGCAATGTTGTTTCTTATGAATCAGTACACTAAGGCCAAACACCTTGTGAACAATGACAAAACCCCCAAATTTGCAGTTTCCAGTCCAACACATTAAGAGCTTAGAAGTTACCACTCCACCCAATCAAGTAAAGAACAGAACAAACTGAAAAATCATCAGGAAAGTTAGGTCACAGAAATAGGTCACTGTCCACCGATCTTTTTCACAGGAGCAAAGGCAGTAAGTACAGAAAAGGTAAGTCTTTTTGACAAATGGTGCTGGAACAATTGCACATCCAAGTGCAAAAATAATGATTCTAGACACAGACCTTATGTCCTACATGAAGAATAACTTAAAATAGATCACATACTTAAATACAAAATGCAAGCCTAGAAAACTAGAATACAACACAGGATGAGACCAAGAGGATCTTGGGCTTGGTGACAACTTTTAAGATAAAACCTTTGGGCATGATCCATGGAAGAAATTTTATTCTTTTATTTTACTAATTTTTTTATGTTGACTATCAAAGATTAAGACAAGCTGATTTTTTAACATTAAGAATCTATACTGTGGGGCTGGCAGAGTGGCTTAAGTGGTAGAGTGCCTGACTAGTAAGCATGAGTTCAAACCCCAGTACTGCAAAAAAAAAAAAAAAAGAAAAAAGAAAAAGAAATCTGTAGTGTGAAGGGCAATATCAAGAAAAAAGGAAGACAAGCCTTAAGTTAGGAAAAAATATTTGCAAAAGACTTATTTGAAAAAGAACTACTACAAAAAATATACAAAGAATTCTTACACCTCAACAATAAGAAAATCACCTCACTAAAAACATGGGCAGAAGACTTGAGCAGATATTTCACCAAAGGTATACAGATGGCAAATAAGCAGATGAAGTATGTTCAACACCATGTGCTATTAGGAAATTTCAAATTAAATGACAAGATACCACTATATCCTACATTGGCCAAACTCCAAAACACTGACAATAATACCCAACACTGGCAAGTATGAGGAACCATGTGAACTCTCATTCATTGCTGGTGGGAATGCAAAATGGTATAGCTCCTACAGTAGACAGCCTGGCAGCTTCTTACAGAAATACATGCTTTTAGTAGATGATTCAGTCATTGCATTCATTGATTTTTTAAGCAAATGCATTGAAAAGTTTGCTCATACAAAAAGCTGCATATGTACAGCAACTGTGTTCACAATTGTTAAAACTTAGTATTAACTAAGATGTCCTTCAGTATGTGAACAGATAAACTAGTTCATCCAGACAATGTAATATTATTCAGCTTTGAAAAGAAATGAGCTATCAAATCATGAAAAGACATGGAGAAATTTAAATTACTAAATGAGCGAAAACAATCTGAAAAAGCTGCATGTTGTATGATCACAACATAGGACTTTCTGGAAAAGGTAATATTATAAAACAATAAAAAGTCTAGCATTCGTCAGAAATGAGTGGGGAACATTAACAGAAGCAAAGACAAAAACCACTTGATCATCTCAATAGATGCAGAAAAAGCCTTTGATAAGATCCAACACCATTTCATGATAAAAGCTCTAAGAAAACTAAGAATAGAAGGAAAGTTCCTCAACATTTTAAAAGCTATATATGACAAACCTACAGCCAGCATTATACTTAACAGAGAAAAACTGAAACCATTCCCTCTAAAATCAGGAACCAGACAAGGATGCCCACTATCTCCACTCCTATTCAACGTAGTACTGGAATTCCTAGCCAGAGCAATTAGGCAAGAAGAAGGAATAAAAGGAATTCAAATAGGTAAAGAAACTGTCAAAATATCCCTATTTGCAGACGACATGATCCTATACCATAAAGACCCAAAAAACTCAACTCAGAAGCTCCTAGACATCATCAATAGCTACAGCAAGGTAGCAGGATATAAAATCAACATAGAAAAATCATTAGCATTTCTATACACTAACAATGAACAAACTGAAAAAGAATGTATGAAAACAATTCCATTTACAATAGCCTCAAAAAAATCAAATACCTAGGTGTAAACCTAACAAAAGATGTGAATGACCTCTACAAGGAAAACTATACACTTCTGAAGAAAGAGATTGAGGAAGACTATAGAAAGTGGAGAGATCTCCCATGCTCATGGATTGGTAGAATCAACATAGTAAAAATGTCTATACTCCCAAAAGTAATCTATATGTTTAATGCAATTCCCTTCAAATTTCCAATGACATTCATTAAAGAGATTAAAAAAATCTACTGTTAAATTTATATGGAAACACAAGAGGCCCCAAATAGCCAAGACAATACTCAGTCAAAAGAGCAATGCTGGAGGTATCACGATACCTGACTTCAAACTATATTACAAAGCAACAACAATAAAAACAGCATGGTACTGGCACAAAAACAGACATGAAGACCAGTGGAACAGAATAGAGGACCCAGATATGAAGCCACACAACTATAACCAACTTGTCTTTGACAAAGGAGCTAAAATTATACGATGGAGAAATAGCAGCTTCTTCAACAAAAACTGCTGGGAAAACTGGTTAGCAGTCTGCAAAAAACTGAAAAAAAATCCATGTATATCACCCTATACCAATCTTAACTCAAAATGGATCAAGGATCTTAATATCAGACCCCAAACTCTAAAGTTGATACAGGAAAGAGTAGGAAATACTCTGGAGTTAGTAGGTATAGGTAAGAACTTTCTCAACGAAACCCCAGCAGCACAGCAACTAAGAGATAGCATACATAAAGCTAAAAAGCTTCTGTTCATCAAAAGAAATGGTCTCTAAACTGAAGAGAACACCCACAGAGTGGGAGAAAATATTTGCCAGCTATACATCATACAAAGGACTGATAACCAGAATATATAGGGAACTTAAAAAACTAAATTCTCCCAAAACTACTGAACCAATAAAGAAATGGGCAAGTGAACTAAACAGAACTTTCTCAAAAGAAGAAATTCAAATGGCCAAAATACACATGAAAAAATGCTCACCATCTCTAGCAATAAAGGAAATGCAAATTAAAACCACACTAAGATTCCACCTCACCCCTGTTAGAATAGCCATCATTAGCAACACCACCAACAACAGGTGTTGGCGAGGATGCGGGGAAAAAGGAACCCTCTTACACTGTTGGTGGGAATGTAAACTAGTACAACCACTCTGGAAAAAAATTTGGAGACTACTTAAAAAGCTAGACATTGATCTACCATTTGATCCAGCAATACCACTCTTGGGGATATACCCAAAAGACTGTGACACAGGTTACTCCAGAGGCACCTGCACACCCATGTTTATTGCGGCACTATTCACAATAGCCAAGTTATGGAAACAGCCAAGATGCCCCACCACTGATGAATGGATTAAGAAAATGTGGTATCTATACACAATGGAATTTTATGCAGCCATGAAGAAGAATGAAATGTTATCATTCGCTGGTAAATGGATGGAATTGGAGAACATCATTCTGAGTGAGGTTAGCCTGGCCCAAAAGACCAAAAATCATATGTTCTCCCTCATATGTGGACATTAGATCAAGGGCAAACACAACAATGGGATTGGACTTTGAGCACATGATAAAAGTGAGAGCACACAAGGGAGGGATGAGGATAGGTAAGACACCTAAAAAATTAGCTAGCATTTGTTGCCCTCAATGCAGAGAAACTAAAGCAGATACCTTAAAAGCAACTGAGGCCAATAGGAAAAGGGGACCAGGAACTAGAGAAAAGGTTAGATCAAAAAGAATTAACCTAGAAGGCAACACACACGTACAGGAAATTAATGTGAGTCAACTCCCTGTATAGCTATCCTTATCTCAACCAGCAAAAACCCTTGTTCCTTCCTATTATTGCTTATACTCTCTCTTCAACAAAATTAGAGATAAGGGCAAAATAGTTTATGCTGGGTATTGAGGGGGTCGGGGGACGAGGGAG